CGGAGGTCGATTTTCGAGAAAACCCGGGCTGTGCGCAGTTGGTCGATCAGTTCGTCGGCTCGTGGGATGGGGTAACGGGATTTAATGGTAACCCTGTTCAGTGCCCTGTAGTCGATGCACATGCGAAAACCCCCGTCCTTTTTCGGTGTGAACAGTATTGGTGCGGCGAAAGGCGACGAACTAGGGCGAATGAATTCCTTTTCTAGCAGGTAATCGAGCTGCTTCCTTAGTTCGTCTAATTCGGGTTGGGTCAGTCGGAACTGTCGCTGTACTGTTGGCTGTGCCCCCGGTTCCAGTTCTATCCTGTGATCGTGCGGTCGCTGAGGTGGCAGTCCCGTCGGCAGGTCATCCGGGAAAATGTCACTGTACTGTTGTAACAGTGCCGCCAGGTCACTCGGTACGTCGGTCAGCAGTTTCTGTAAATCGCCTCCCTTGTCTGCTGCCTCGGCTTCCCGAATGTCAACCGCGTACACGTCGGCTCCGGCCGCAACAGCGCGTTTCATCGTGATCGCGTTGACACGCACCGACGAAGACTCAGGCGAGCCCCAGCGAGGTAAGGCGATGCTGTTACCGTTCACTCGCACGGTGCAGTCACCCGTCGTCCAGTCAATTCGCGGGTTGTGTCGTCGCAGCCAATCACGCCCGAGTAAAATGTCGGTTCCGTCGAGGGTCGTTGCGAGCATTTCCTGACTAAACGTGAAGTTACCCCCGCATCGAATCCGAACTCGGTCTACGCGTTCCCGTATTGCCAGCGGCGTGCCGTCTACCAGTCGTGCGTCGATCTCAGGTAAGCATCGGTCCAGTGGCAGTCGCAGTTTTCGTGCTGTAGCAGTGTTAATGAGGCTGTGGCTGGCTCCCCCATCTACGAAGATTTTAACTAAGTCCGTCCCAATTTTCCCACTGAGCAGTATAGGGCTATCTACCGTGGTACCCTCCTTATTCGGCCGGGTGTGGTCGATTGCGTGAACCGGCACAATCACTCGGTGAGGGTCGGTTGGGTCGGGCGAGCGGCGTGACCTGTCAGTAGAGGGCCCGTCTGCTACTGACTTCCAGCGTTTCCCTGCTGCTTGGTCTGTGTCTGCTGCTCAGCTTCCCCCTTTCCCTTAGCGTTTTCCGGGCATTCGCTCTTGCGATGTCCCGGCCGATTGCACGCAAAGCAGCGCCCTTTGAACGGTGCGGCAGCGGCATTTGCGGCGACGGCGCGTATCGTGGCGCTCTCGTTCGTCCCACGAGGCCGATGTCCCCAGGTGTTGTTTCCGTAGGACCCCGGTCTCGGTCGGCGAAAGAAGTCGAGCTTCTCCGCCATAGCGAGAATTTCCTGAAACTCAGTGACGCCGCGAAGCTGGATTTCCTGAGCGATGTCCTGCTTCAGGCCGCCGATGTAGCGGTCGATGCGTTCGCTCTCATGCATGTAGCCCACCTGCTCGCATAGCGCCAGAAATCCGCTCGTGTAATCCTGGACGGAACCGAGTTGGCGCCAAGTGCGGAGCTTCTGTCGCGCCGAGATCGAGGCCGCGATTGGCTCAAATCGAGCGCGCAGACCTGCGCACCACGCGTCCCACGTGCGATACTGGGGCACCTCCACGAAATACGACGGCGCCCAGGGTCCGGTTTGTCCTTCCCGTGTCGGTAGTGTCGCGTAGTCGGTCGGCTTCGTGACGATGACGCGCCACCAGTCCATGGCGGGTCCTCGCAGCAACGACACGGCGTATCGAATCTTCGCCGAGTCCTCCGAGACGTAGTTAGCGTCGAAGAAAACATTCATTGTGAATAACCACGCCTGAACGGTAGGACCACCCCGTTGACTCGGGTCAAAGCATGGCGGGCGCTGCGGTTTCAGCGGCATCGGTGACGGCAGTCCCGAATCGTGGGTTGGTGCCGAAATCGTGACGCGAGGTTGACTTGGGGCCGCAGGCGTCGCTCTGGGGTGTGTCGTGCCGTGGTCGTCGTCTCCGTCGGGGCGGACGACGCCATCACTGGCCGCGCTCGCGGGTTGCCCCACACTCCCGTGTTGTGATGTTGAGGGTGCAGGTTGAATCGGAGTGCCAGGTGCTTGGGATTGTGCTCTCATGAGGTCATTTTGCAGTGATGAGCGTTCTGCCGTCAATGCCGCGATTTCCTCGGAGCTTTCGTGCAGTTGTCGCAGCAGATCGTTCAAACGCTCCTGCGTGAGAGTGGTGACGTCGATGTTTTCGGCCATGACGAAGGGCGTCGGCTCGTCTTAGTCTAGGCGCAGTCGTGGCTGCACGCGTTTACGAGAGAACGCGAGGACAGCGGCTCCTAGGGGCTAAGGTGCGTGAGTCCCTTCGAGTGAAAAATCAAAAGTTGATTTCCTGGTGTGCGGAGATGCGCGGTCCGAAAGAAAGGGGCTCTGATACCAAGTGTTACGGGTGCAATGAATCGAGGTAGCGAGAATTGCACTAAGGTGTCAAACGAGTACAAAATGTGAGCGAAGGCATGAGCGAGCATTTATACGCGAAACATGCAAAACGGTAACGCGGTGCGTGCGAACTTGCTAGTGCTACGCTGGAGCGAGGCTCGGGCTAGTCCCGAAGCGTAGGCCGATACGGCCATGCCAGCAGTGCGAGGTTTGGCAAAACAGTGCGCGCGAAGTCGGCGAAGTTCCGTTAGCAGTAACGGGCGAACAGTCGGCTGTTGCTGTACGCGATGTAGTCGGCTCCGTAAGGAATGCCTGAGAAAATTCCTTACAGATGTCCTGTCGCCAGTCATTAGACTCTTATTTCTAGGTTTGAAGAACTCTGTCGGCATTTGATGTCTCGAGAAACGTTGTGGGTGATTGTTAGCCAATTTTCAGTGGAATCAATCATCTAAAAGTAGTTACCCACTTAACGTCAACTCCTTCCGGAGTCACCTCTTTAGACCAGACAAATGGGCTCTCTGGATCTTTCCGGCGGTGCTGCCTGGTAAGAAAGCTCGACAGTGACCGGCGTTCTATATTGACGGTGCTAAATAGCAGACACATCGCATGAAAAATAATTAAGACTACAATGTCGTTCATGCGCGGGTTCCGGCGCTTGTGATAGACTAAGTATTATTTCTAATCAACACTACTGTTGTCAATGCTTCTCGAAAAGGACGGTCTTCTTGTGTTTCGTGCAGCATTGATAGGATGCGGCTGCTTTTGTACATCGTTGGTCCTAATTTTGCGAGTTCTTAACTCTTCCTTTGTTTCACCTCGTTCATACTATGTTCGTCCTTCTTTCTCTGCTTCCCTCGTCTGCTCTCTTCTGTGCATTTCGCAGGATGAGCCGTGTGGTAAGCCGATCAAAGCTCCGCAGTTTTTGCCATGGCCCGAATCGCTTGCCTGAATTATTTCGCTGAGTTTCTCCTTACATTTGAGTGTGCTAATTCGGTGCTTAAACCCTTTTACGTGTTGCTGGCATTGACCATCCCTATGTATGAAGGTTTTAGTATCAAGCTCCCTCTGTTCTCGTATTCTCGTTCTTCCGCCAATGACAGAAGCCCTTTCACCTGCCTTGATTTCAGGCCAGCTTATCCATTGGCTCCCGAGTGGCGGGTTTCGCGGGTCTCTGCGTCGCCTCCAATCAGGACGAGCAGGGCGGTAAGCGTCGGCGACGTGGCGCACGCCGATTCGCCGGACTGGTGCTGGTTTCGTCAGCCGCCGCTACAGCCACACCCGCTACAGCAACCCCTGCTACAGCTGCTACAGGCGAGAAGAAGACCTGCTGTGGAGGGAAGAAGCCGAAGGTCGAGGAGAAGAAGAAGAGCTGGCCTCAGATCATCCTAGGTACAGTCTTCCTTTCTTCATGTTCTCGGGCTGATGATGGAAAAAAATTGATGTGGGGGTGCGTTTCCTCAAATTACTAGTCTCTGGGCTATGTTGAGACAGATTAGGGGATGCTCATGCTATCGCGCGTTCCTGTCATCCTTTCTCCCACTGCTCGTCCCTAGCAGGGGGAACAGTGGCAGGAGGAGAAGTAGGTTTGTACCATTTTCAAGACGCCTACAGTAAAGTCTTTCCAGCACACTATTTCCCGTTATCGTCCCTAGCAGAGGGGGCAGTGCCAGGAGGAGCAAGCAACAGGTGCTACGGTAAAGACTGGCCGGTACCATGTCTTTAGGCGCCTATGGTATCACCTTCACAGTTGTTTTTTCTTCCCTTTCCTTACCTTCTCGTTCCGAACAGAGGGAGCAGTGGCAGGAGGAGCAGCAGGAGTGACGGTGGAGACGGCCTTGTACCCGATCGACACCATCAAGACGCGCCTGCAGGTAAGCGAGCCACACCAAATGAATGAATCACGCTGTGAAGGGAGCTTGCGAGTGCATACCGTTAGCACTGAAAGAAAGAACGGCGGAAACTACCTGGCTATGGACCCTCTTTGTTTTGCCAGAAGTCTGGGTTGCAGGAAAGAAGCTTTACTGCATGTAAAAAGGAGTCATGTGAAAACATGTGAAAAGGAGGATAAAAGTAGTCCTCTCCTCCTCGATCTTGGGCTCGACGAAACGTGCTTGTCGCATGCAATCTCCCCGCTTCCTCCACCAACCAATTAACCTCCCTTCCGCCCGGTAGGTTCTTGCACGAGACAAGACAAGAGCATATATCACCACGACCCTTACGCAGTGGCACCACTCCAGTCAGTAGGCCCTTGCGTTGCCACTACCCAGAGCAGCACGCTTTTCGTCAAAGGCGTTCTCCTTGCCGGTCAGCCAGCTCCTGTCGCTCTTTGTGCTGCGGAGGGATGCAACGCTCCTTCCCACGACCATCTCCATTTCAATCCCCACACCACCTTGCCCCACTTCCCCTCCCTCCCTCTAATCCTCCACTTGCACTCCACCCATCCTTGGTTGAGCAGCACGAGAAATGCTGTCTCAACTTGCCTTCCCCCCAATTTCAGCTATATGCGGTCCTACCTACCTGTGCTCCTTAGCTTGCCCTCCGTCCCTCCGTGGTTCCCCTCTCCTCCTGGCGTCCGTCTCCAGGTGGCCACCTCGGGAGGCGGCATCAACTTCAAGGGGCTCTACTCGGGGCTCTCTGGCAACCTCGTGGGCGTGCTGCCGTGAGCTGCCCTTCCTACTCCTCCTCCCTGCCACCCTCGCCTCGTTTCTCTTCTGCTCCTACCCTTCGTTTCTGTGTATTCTTCTTCCAACTCCTCCTCCTCCTCCTCCTCCTCCTCCTCCTCCTCCTCCTCCTCCTCCTCCTCCTCCTCCTCCTCCTCCTCCTCCTCCTCCTCCTCCTCCTCGTCCTCCTCCTCCTCCTCCTCCTCCTCCTCGTCCTCCTCCTCCTCGTCCTCGTCCTCGTCCTCGTCCTCGTCCTCGTCCTCCTCCTCCTCCTCCTCCTCCTCCTCCTCCTCCTCCTCCTCCTCGTCCTCCTCCTCCTCCTCCTCCTCCTCCTCGTCCTCCTCCTCCTCGTCCTCGTCCTCGTCCTCGTCCTCGTCCTCGTCCTCCTCCTCCTCCTCCTCCTCCTCCTCCTCCTCCTCCTCCTCCTCCTCCTCCTCCTCCTCCTCCTCCTCCTCCTCCTCCTCCTCCTCCTCGTCCTCGTCCTCCTCCTCGTCCTCGTCCCCCTCACCATTGCTGTATCCCTCTCTCTGGCTCTCCCTCTCCTTCTCTCCACTTTCCTGCTCTCACTCTTCACTACCCCATTTCCACTCGTCGTACCAACAGCAATATGCAACCGTGCTCCACTTGTAACATTGAAACACGGGTTGAGTGTCAAGCGAGAAACACCCCATACAACCCTGCTTCTCTGCGTTCCAACTTTTCCTTCTCTGGTGATGGCAGCACCAACCATAATTCACATAAGCCACGAGCTAAATCGGTCATATTCAGTCATCAACCGAACCGTGCACTGCATCTCGCCTTCTCCACTCCCCTCTCTCCCCCCCGCCCACCCCCTCTGTTTCATCCCTACAGAGCATCAGCCATATTCATAGGCGTGTACGAGCCGGTCAAGGCCTTTCTCTTGAACGCCCTTCCTGACAACATCAGCGTTGCTGCTCACCTGGTGGGTCCTAGCCTCGCCACACACTTCCACTCCTGTTAGCTTCTCAATCTCAGTTTCTGTCCCAGCCTTTCATCGTGCATCTTCTTCATTTCTTGGTTCATCTGACCACACAATCATATCATATCCATAAGCATCATCAGATTTCTATACTGTTACGTCAACGCCCCTGTCTGTCCTTCCTGGCCCCGCTCCCAACCATCCAGGCAGCAGGAGCAGCAGGAGGCACAGCAGCTTCGCTTGTTCGAGTGCCCACTGAGGTAAGCCGTCCATGGTAACGGGTTGGTTCCATGGTAGTCAATAGTGGTGCATTGTGTACATCCATGATGATGTGCCGTCCGTTCATGTCCATGCTAATCCATGATGATGCACCATTGATGTCCATGATAATCCATGATGATGCACCATGCATGTCCATAATAGTCCATGATGATGTGCCATGCACGCACACTTATGATGCAGTCTGAGAGCTGCTCTACATCACTCAAGGTGCCTCTCTCTCTACACCAAAGCATGCACTCCCATACCCTGCCCTCGCATCAACATCAGGTGGTGAAGCAGCGCATGCAGACAGGGCAGTTCCCCACTGCAGTCAACGCTGTCAAGACCATTCTCTCAAAGGAGGGATTCAGGGGGCTCTATGCGGTACGTTCCTTCTTTTATGCAGTACATTCCTTTTATGCGGTAAGTTCGCTCTTCTATGCGGTACATTCCCTCGACAGCACATTCCAGTTACATTCCTTTCCCTGTATGGTACGTTCCTATCTCATGTATTCCGTCTGCAATGCTGCGTTGTGTTTGCTCTGTCCGACACGTCCCTTTAAAGTATACATACATTTGCCTGTGTACCATTGGGATTGTACAATCTGTCCTCTGCTTAAAAAATCCTGTGTTACATATTTCCTTCTAAATATTGTTACAAATGGGCTGATGCCTCAGGGTTATGGCTCCTTCCTTCTGCGAGACCTGCCATTTGATGCCATCCAGTTTGCGATTTACGAGCAGCTCAAGATCCAACTCAAGAAAACGGTGAGCTCCATCTCTTACAACGAGGGTCTACATTTGACTCTTGAAACCCTGAACCCTGGCAAAATATTACTTCGGAAAAAATCAGGTGGGCACGAAATTCTTAATTTCGCCAACCAACACTTACGCGCTGGCAAGCCAGGTTAAAAAAAAAACTTTTCTGAACCCACGCCATGCAACAGCTCATAGGCTTCTAGTTGCCCACCACAGCGTTGGCAACGTTGCAGTATACTTGTAGTTACACTGTTTTTTGCAAATGTGGTGTCCTGGTCTGTCCTCACTAAAACTTCCTTTCATCCCTCCAATCTGCAAGCCCCATGCTGTACGTGTGAATTTCTTATACCTGCAGTCTTTGTGACAATCATGGTTGTTTTTCAAGCCTCTATTTACTGTTTTTGATGCTGCACGTTTTTGTTGGTGCAATAATTTCAGCTGAAGCGGGACCTTAAGGATCCAGAGATGGCAGTGGTGGGGGCAATCTCAGGTGCCATCACAGGCGCTGTCACCACTCCTCTTGATGTCATCAAGACTCGGCTCATGACCCAGGTGTGTCATGTTGCGTTTATTGAATTTCTATGTTCGTTCAAGGTTCAGCAGAAGCAATGGAAAGATGCTGTGTGAGAAATAGCAAATCGCTCATTAACGTGTGAACTACTGTGCCAACTTCCTCTCCCATCTACCAAACACATGCACGTAATATTAATGCAGGGGACATCTGGGCAATACAAGGGCATCATTGATTGCATTCAGAAGACAGCCGCACAAGACGGAGCTGGCGCTCTTTTCAAGGTAGGTCTAAAGGAGCAAAAATGCATGCTCGTCGTTCACCAGAACCACTTGTGCCTCCTACATTACACTTCGAATTATGCAGTAGCACTTCCATACCAGCACAAGCATTTCACCCAACTCTTACCTTCCTCCCAACCTACAGGGTGTTGGCCCCAGAGTAATGTGGATCGGCATTGGAGGGTCGATCTTCTTCGGAGTTCTTGAGAAGGCAAAGCAGCTAATGCACCAGGCATACCACACACCTCCCCCATCAGAGGCATATTTCTAACTAGTAGCTGCTAAGCCAGGCTCGTGTCTTCCACAATAAGCAAGCACCAGTGTTCTGTTCCTTGGTGTCCTTCATCACATTTATCCAAGCCCAGTAACAATGGGGATAGAGAAACATACCATAAGCAGATGGACTAGACAGAACCTAGCAGCCTCGGCAGATTGATCATAACACAAGACAATCTACCTACCGCATTCATTCAAAAGATCAGGGAAACTGGAAGCAGCATCTAAAATAGCCTCCACAGAAGAATGATACTTTAGTCCTAGCTCCTTTCTGGATTTTGTATTGTCAAATGTAGGAGCGTTGCGGAAATGCCTTGCCACAATTGCAGTTTTGGTTCCAGGGAAAATCAGAGGTGCCACATACATAAAGAATCCTGGCATTGCGTATCTGGGAACTTTGGAATCCGGGTACTTCTTCCGAATCACATCTGCAGTTCAGAATGAAACAAGGTACGTGGTTAATTGCAACTGAGTGCACAGTTAAAAATGGCCATGGATTGCTGTCCCAGTTGTAGGGAAGAAGAACTTACCTGCAATTTCCAGCATGCTCAAGGTGTCCCCATTGCATAGTATGTACCTCCCTTTTGCTGCATTCTTCTCGAGGGCAACAACATGAGCAAGTGCAACATCATCGATGTGCACTATGCTGAAGTACAGACTTGGAGCCAGGAACAGCTGATTCTCCAGAAGTTGCCTTATCACCTGCATAATAGAGCAAAGATGCAAAGTCAGAAGTGTGACTGTTTCGATCTATTAAGGATCAGCAGCCCCATCAGCATTTAGCCATACGTTGAGGCTTGTCCGAGCGTGCTCCTCACGTATGGCTTTACCAAACACCATGGTTGGACAGATTGTGATTAGGTCGAAGGTCCAGTCTTGTCCCTTCAGATCTTCCACCGACTTCCAGGCATACTTCTCCGCAAGAGTCTTGCCCATCGGGTAAGGATCATAAGGACCCCAATTTTCATTCCAATCTTCTTCAGTTAGTACTCGATTCGAGGAGTAGTCCATAACTGCCGCTGCAGATGACGTAAAAACCACCCGCCTGAAATGATAGAGTCCAACGAAGCAGCGGAAAGAGGGAGAGGAGTGAAACCACGGGAACAGCAGATGCGTGAACGGGCAAAGCTGCGTAAACGAAAACGTGTTGGCTTAGGTTTGAGCGAGAGAAAAAAAAAGTTAGTAGTTAATTTTCAAGTCAGGTCCTCACTTAGCAGTTTTATGCTTGAGAATGGAGGAAAACACATTCTTTGTCCCCTCAACAGCAGCATCAATAACCGTCTGCGGATCCGCCACTTTTAAACTAACAATGGACGCCACGTGGCAGATAAATTCGCATCCTTCCACTGCTTTATCAAAACTTCCAGCCGTAGTTAGGTCCGCAGTAAACAGCTCAAGCTTCCCTGGCCGTCCCTTAGCCTGCCAGACACGTCAACTGTGTCACGTTCTGCTTTATAGTGGCCTTTTATAGTCTCAGGCTATTTTATCATGGACATATTTGGTGGGATGCTTATTGCGAATTCTTACAAGGTCGAGAATCCATGATGTCTTCGTGTCGTTCGTCGCATCCCTAACAGTTCCTTTCACGTGATAACCCCGATCCAGAAGAAGCTTGACAACATGGCATCCAATGAAACCTGCAGCCAACTAGACATGAAACTTCAATTCCCACACATTTCTTCCATGGCATAACCTTCGAGTCGGCTGGATAACGTATCAAAAAAGCTGGGCGGACGGAAGACCAGATCTTTACCAGAAGCTCCAGTAACACAGACTTGTTTCCCTTCTCCAGGCAAAGAACCCTCACCGACCATTGCGAGCACTACAGCACTGCACCTGACTTCAAGGTGTGAACTAGGGAAACGAACAAATGCACCCTGTCCCGAATGCCCCCACAACCAAACAGTTTCCGCAGCACACCCATCACCAAATAAGTCCTATTGGATCTAATACACCTTACAAGCACACCCATCAACAAGGAGAGGAGCTCTGTTGGAGAAAGTGCGTTTCATTATATAATGAAGTCCAACAGAAATGTTCTCACAAGGTAATTACCGTACCTCCACACAAAACTGCGTCGCAGTTACTCCATACAAAACTGCATTTACCAGAATTGTGATGTAGGCTCGTAGGAGCTTGAGGCACGGTACAGATTCCTGGTACGCAGGGCTGATTTTATCAGGGTAATCACCCTGATTTCAGGGTGATTTCAGACTTGTCACTTTCTGGACCCTGAGAAATCAGGTTTTTCACATTTTGGTCCCTGATCCATTCAGAGTATTGCTTTAGCGGACCCTGAAATTTTGTGTACACTCTCAGTGTAGGGTTTTCACGGACCCTGTCAATACAGAGTACGAGGCTTGTGGACCCTGAATGCGATGTTATCGGGGCGAAGATTCTCGGAAATTTCCTCATGATAACCCCTTTGCATTGATTTCAGTGCCCCCCACGTGCGTAATCCTCCCCCCCCCCCCCCCACCCTTCCCCCCTCCCCCCCGCTCGCTTTATCGAGACGAACTTTCTTCAAAGTTTCGTTCCCATACACCCACCATCTAGATCGGGCGAATCTGTTATGTCAGATTTTAGGTTGCTGTTATTGGTGGAAATACCGTATTCTCCCAGATAAAACACCCTAGGGTATTATGAAAACCACTGGAAAAAAATGGGGGGGTCTCCTCAAAAGGAAAATCCTATATAATACCCGGGTCTTATGATATGGTATATTTTTTATAAAACATAAACGATGTGAAACAAAATCAGGGGTCTGACTTCACTTCAAGATTGTTGATCAATGCCGCAAAACCGAGTACGAGGATATTGTGGGCCATTTGGGCCACTTGGGTCACTTCACCTCTTGGACCACTTGCAGTGGAAGATTCATCAGCGTGGCAACAGCGAGATTTTGGGATTCACCAGCGTGGCGACAACGAGATTGTGGGAGGAGGGATATCTCGACTGATTCTAAGTGAAAGTACATGCGAAATTTTTTCTAGGGATTGATTTTCGCGATATCCTGTCGTAAGGAATCGGACTCGATAACAGTTATAATAGGAATCTATAAGAAAAGGGGGGTGTTATAGAGAATCACCCCAAAAAGGGGGGTATAGTACTAACGGGGTCGGATATAACACCCACCCCGTATTAGCTACCCGGGGGTGTACAATTACGGGGGGGTGTTTTATCCGGGAGAATACGGTAGATGTGCTCTAACACAGTGCCAGTCACAACGCCACAGTGCCAGTCACTTCTGTCCTCGGTAAAGAAATAGCGCGTTACTACGACCCTGATTTTCAATTCTCGACCCTGAACATTCAGAGTTCACTACTTCTCAACCCTGAGCAATCAGGGTGCTGTTTTTGTGGAAAATGTGCCTTCAGGGTAAAATTTTTTTTTGAAGGTTGAAATCAGGGTACCTAAATTTGAAAAGTCAGCCTTGCTGGTACGTATATTTTAAGTTCAAGAGGTGCAGATACGGTTCTGTATGATCCAAACTGAATGTTACAGCTACACCCCCACTGCTAGATTGCTGGCATGCTCTAACTCCATTCCAGAGGACCATCAGCTGCTACAGGCTTCAACACGATCTCAGCTTCTTAAGCAACAAAATGACAACTATTCAATGTTATACACTACTCTCTCCAGCCTTGCCCAGACACTTTGGTTCACTACCACCCAGCATCTAGGACACTGCCAGCATCACCAGCAACTGTCCAGACAATGTTACACCAGCAGAAGCCTCTCATTCCTGCACATAGAACAAAATATCTACCTCCCTAAACGAATGACGCTGGCGGCTGCTTCAAGAATAGCTTCTTCCGATGAACGGTAATGAAGCCCCAGTTCCTTCTCGGACTTACTCTTGTCAAATCTAGGAATGTTGCTCAAGTTCCGCCTCAATACCTCAAAGCTAAGAACCGGGTGGATAAATTACACTGCGTACATTAGAAGGTTTGGCATAGTGCAAGTGGGGACCCTAAAACCAGGATTTTTTTCTTTGATGATACCTGCAGTCAACAAGCACAAGGGAGGGTGAGTCAGTGCTTAGGGAAGCACATGATTCAACAACAGATAACGTATATGCAATCCCTCTCATATGCAAGGTGTCGCCATTGCACAAAATGTATCGTCCCTTTGCAGAATATTTCTCCAGTGCCAATGCACGAGCCAGCACAACCAGGGCTGACGTTTCAAATTAGGCCTCCCTGATTCCGGGGAAAAATTTTCCCCTCTATTATGAGTGCACATTTTTCAGAATAATGCTACTCTGATTGCTCAGGGTTGAAAAGTATATAACTCTGATTATTCAGGGTCGAAAATCGAGGATCAGAGTAGTAACACGCCCTTTGTTAGAGGGGAAAAGTCTCCCTCTGCGTAAAGTTTGCGCTCTGTGTTTCGCGCACACTTTGAGCGCGCTAATTTCCATCCTTTTAGTGTTACGCAATGGTATTTATGAACACGTTTTAGTGGGGGGAAGAGATGAGCGATTTCGCTCAACCAAACATTTCGATTCGATACTTGAATGTGGCCAACATCGCTGGGCGAATCGCAAAATAGGTTCTGGAAACTTTACGCACACGCACTTACGACAGTGGAACAACTTATTCGCATTCCAAGAAAATAACAAACATCGAGTGTACTCGCCTGTCAGACACGCTGCTGTCCATCGCTCACGCGCTGGTTGTACTGCGATCAAACCGAAGGGGGATATCGGAAGAAAATTTCCAAGAACCTTCCTTTCGATAAGGTCAAAATCAGGGACCACAGATTCGATACCCTATTAAGTCAAGGTCCACTAACAGGCTAGTCTGTTACACTATACTCAAAATCAGGGATAGGAAAACTACTACTCTGATTTGAACAGGGTTGAGAACTCAGTAATTCTGAAATCTCAGTCTCCGCAAAGTGGAAAGTCTGAAATCACCCTGAAATCAGGGTAATTACCCTGATAAAATCAGCCCTGAGCACAACATCATCTATGTGCACGATGCCAAAGTACAACTAAGGGGCCATGAACATCCATCCACTCAGATGCAAAGGACATGCTCCTTTATGACCTGCATCCACTCAGGTGCATGCAGGGGTCAAGTACAAGTCAGCTCCTTTATGACCTGCTTAGATGCAAAGGAACACATAAAGCCAAGTTCAAACTGCCAAATTTTAATATCAGAGTGGTGGTTCTTACACCGAGGTTTGTTCGAACATGCTCCTTCTGCGTAGCTTCACCCAAGACCAGGGCTGGACAGATGGTTGCTGATTAGGTAGCTAGGAATGGTTTGACTATCGAGTGAGTTGGGTACAAGGACAAGAACCCTAAGGGGTTGTACCCTACATTGGCTACCCCACTACAGCCTACACCTAATTATAAACCATATATAGTTTGACACACCCACATAGGCAAAGTGGGGGAGAACAAGGGCTCACAAGATCAGTAAAAAAAAGCAATGCAAACTCAGGGTAGATCACAACGTCACCATACACTCCAAGCACAAGCAAGCGGGCCACAAGACCAGTTCACATGCAGAGGTATATATGCAACAACAACAGTACAGTGATCACTACCTAGCAAGAGTGAACATGCGGGTATATATATAGATCACAGTACAACCAAAGTCTACAGCAAGTGAGGAAACGTAGGCACCAGGCCTAGAGCAGTGCAGAAGCGCTGATGGTCACCAGCCGGAAGGGCCTTGGTGAACACATCAGCTATGTTCGCTCGGGTGGGCACGTGAGCGACACGAAGCTGACCACGCTGCTACAAATCTCGAGCAAGGAAGTAACAGAGAGCGATGTGCTTCGTTCTGTGCTCCAGTCTGTGCTTCTGACACAAGGTAATGGCAGCCTTGTTGTCGACGTACAGAACTGGAGGAGAACGAGGCCTCTCTCCCAAGTTGGTCAGCAAGTAGGTGAGCCAGCGTAACTCCTGTGCAGCCATGGCTGTGGCGTAGATCTCAGCCTCACAACTGGAGCTGAGAACAGAAGACGAGCGAGTAGAACGCCAAGAAACAGAGCCAGAGCCAAGGCTGAACGTGTAACCGTGTGACGACCGCCGTGTAGCCAGGTCCTCAACCCAAGAAGCGTCTGAGTGCCCAGTGAGAACAACTGGACTCTGCCCTCCAAGCACGAGCCCCATGCCCGGTGTACTGCAGAAATAGCGCAGTACCCTCTTCGTAGCATCGAACTGCACCTTTCGGTGCCTACCAGGAGCCATGTAGCGTGCCAGAAGGCCAAGAGGGTGCGCAAGGTCAGGACGAGTGCAGGTCATTAAGTACATGAGGCAGCCCACTAGCTCTGTGTACGGACCACTCGGCTCTACGGACTCGCCCGAAGGTGGAGCTGAGAGCGAGTGACCTGTAGCCAGGGGAGTGGACGGTGGCGAGGACCAAATGAGGCCGAAGCGCTGAAGGACCTGCTGCACCATGTGTGACTGAGTTAGTCTGATGGTGCGGCGTGCTCTGTCCCGGGTGATCTGCAGGCCAAGGTAGCTGCGCAGCTCACCCAAGTATGTGCACGTGTGTCTCTTCTGCAGCTCTGACTTCCCAAGGGCGAAAGCCTCAGTGTCAGGAGTGGCAAAGACCAAGTCGTCGACGTATACGAGGATGTAGAACGGCGGCAGTGAAAAGTCGGTGCGCAGAAACAACGACGGGTCAGCAGTGGAAGGTGCAAACCCAAGAGCCGCAAGTGTCGTCCTCAGTGTGTCGTGTCACTCACGAGGCGCCAGGGTTTAGGGTGGGCAGCGCAGCCGAATCTCCTGGTATAGGCTGCCCTGTAAGAACGATGTGCTGAAGTCCAGAGAGTGGAGCTCGTAGTCACGCTGAGCGGCAACGTGCAGCAGTACCCGAAGGGTGGTCATCTTCGGGGTGGGGGAGAAGGTTAAGGAAACTAAAACGAGAATAAATGAACTATGAATGAGTTGGGTACAAGTACTAACCCTAATTGGGTTGTACCCCTTATAGGCTACCCCACTATAGCCTACACAATATGCATAAGCTATAATGTTCTGACACACCCCCATAGGCAAAGTGGGGGAGAACAAGGGGTCACAAGACCAGTCAAGCAAAGCAAAGCAAAGCAAGCTCAGGGTGGAGCACAAGTTCAAGGCCATAAGGCCAGTTCACATGCAGGAGTACAAATATATAAAAAGGCTAGACAAGCAAGAGCAGGTGTACATATATATGTAACAGTACAAGCAAGGTCAAGAGGTGAACAAGTGAGGCAAGGCAGGGACAAGACCCAGCTGAGTACAGAAGCGCTGATGGTCACAAGGCGCAAGCGCCTTGGTGAAGATATCAGCAGTGCTGGCCTCAGAGGCCACGTACGCAAGACGCAGCTGACCACGCTGCTGCAGCTGACGAGCAAGAAAGTAGCGGAGAGCAATGTGCTTCGTTCTATGCTCCAGTCGCTGCTCTCGACACAAGGCCAGCATGGCCTTGTTGTCTATGTACAGCACTGGAGGAGAACGAGGCGGCTCTCCAAGGTCAGTCAGCAGGTAGGTGAGCCAGCGAAGCTCCTGTGCAGCCATGGCTACTGCGTAGATCTCAGCCTCACAACTGGAGCCGAGAACAGAAGACGAGCGAGTAGCCCGCCACGAAACAGAGCCGGAACCAAGGCTGAAGGTGTAACCCTGTGACGACCGCTGCGTAGCCTGGTCGTCAGCCCAAGAAGCGTCCGCGTGCCCAGTGAGGACCATTTGACTCTGCCCTCCAAGCACAAGCCCCATGCCCGACGTACTGCACAAGTAGCGCAACACCCTCTTCGCTGCAGCCATGTGCTCCGGTCTGTGTCTCCCAGGAGCAACATAGCGTGCGAGAATGCCAAGAGGGTATGCGAGGTCAGGTCGTGTGCAGGTCATCAGGTACATGAGGCAGCCAACAAGCTCTGGGTACGGGCCACTCGACTCTACGGACTCATCCGAAGGCAGAGCTGAGAGCGAGTGGCGAGTAGGCAGAGGAGTGGCCTGAGGCGAGGAGTACGTGAAGCCGAAGCGCTGAAGGACCTGCTGCACCATGTGTGACTGAGTCAGGGTAATGGTGCGGCGTGCTCTGTCCCGAGTGATCTGCAAGCCAAGGTAGCTGCGCAGTTCACCCAGGTCAGTGCACGTGTGTCTCTTCTGCAGCTCGGACTTCACGTGGGCGAGTCCAGCAGTGTCAGCTGTGGCAAAGACCAAGTCGTCGACGTACACGAGGATGTAGAACGGCGGCAGAGAAGTGTCGGTGCGTAGAAACAGCGACGGGTCGGCAGTAGAGGGAGCAAACCCAAGAGCCGCAAGTGTAGTCCTTAGTGTGTTGTGCCACTCACGCGGTGCCTGGCGGAGACCGTAGACTGGCCGCTGGAGGCTCCACTGGGTGCCACGAGGAAAAGTCCCAGTGAAGCCAAGTGGGCGGCGCAGCCAGATCTCCTCGTGCAGGCTGCCCTGCAGAAAAGCAGTGCTGAAGTCAAGAGAGTGTAGCTCGTAGTCACGGTGAGTAGCTACGTGCAGCAGTACCCGAAGAGTGGTCATCTTCGGGGTGGGAGAGAAGGTCTGAAAGTAGTCAACTCCCTGCCGCTGACTGAAGCCACGAGCCACGTAACGCGCCTTGAAGACAGGCGGAGAACCCGGTGGCCGCTTCACCCTGAAAATCCACATGCCACTGACGATGTTCGCCCCAGGAGGGGGAACAGCGTCAACGTAGGTGCCTGTGGACTTCCAGGAAGCCATCTCTGCATCCATAGCTGCCGGCCACTGAGAGGAGTAGGGACCCTCTATCGCCTCCGCGTAATAGCGCGGAGTCGGGATGTCAAGTGCATCCAGGTCTCCCTCAGGGGTAAGCAGTACGGACACGAGATGAGGTGAAGCAGCGGCCAAGCACTGGAACTCCTCCTGCCTGTCCTCAAGGACGTCCGTGCCAAGGGCACACTCACCCCCGACGGACGGAGGACAGACAGACTCAGACTCAGCAACAAGACTGGCGGCGTAGTCTAAGCGACAGCGAGCAGCAAAGTCGACGAGCTCAGCAACTAGGGCAGACGCAGCAGTGGACTCAAAGGAAGGGTCAGTGACAACAGTAGTAAGGAGACGCGTGACAGTAGGACTGGCAGAACGAAGAGAGTCTGACTCCGGATCGGCAAGAGCAAGAAGAGAAGACTCAGAAGAAGGCAAAGGGGCACGCAGAGGAGCAGTGGACGGACGCAGAGACATCCGGTGCGTGCCAGGGACAGGTGGAGGACGCTGACGCGAACCCTAAACCACTCACGCAGCTCCTGTGGAGAGAGTGGCTCCCGGCGAGACGAAGCACCCGGAGAACCGCCAGACACAGCACCAGCAGGCTCAGCTCCCTCACGCTCCGCACCCCCAAGCTCAGCACCTCCACGCGTAGCACCCTTAGGCTCAGCACCCCCAGGCTCAGCACCCCCAGGCGTAGCACCCCCAGGCTCAGCACCCCCAGACTCAGCACCCCCAGGCTCAGCACCCCCAGTCGTAGTACCCTCAGGCTCAACACCCCCAGGCGTAGCACCCACACGCTCAGCACCCCCAGAGTCAGCACCCCCAGGCTCAGCGCCCTCAGCAGCACCAGAGTCACCAGTGACCTCGACAAGCTCAACAGCGTCTACCTGGGACACACCTGAAGGGGCAGGACCCTGAGGGGGGAGGGGGTCTACCTGGGGGGGACCTGGCACAAGGAAGAGCGGTGGCGGGGGGAGTGCGGAGTGCGGTAGGGGAAGAGACGGTAGTAGGGGACCGACTTGTCGAACGTGACGTCCTAGGAGGACAGAACACGGCGAGAGGTGGGGTGGTAGAACTGCCACCCTGGCGCGTTAGGGGGGAAACCCAGGAAGACGCAAGGAGCAGCACGAGGGGACAGCTTGTCCGCAGACAAGTCGCGGACAAACGCCCGAGATCCCCAGACACGGAACACAGACGCATCGCCAACCTTCCCCGTCCACAGCAAAGTTGGGGAGGTCTCCGGCATGGAGACCCTGGGCTGAAGGTTGATCTGATGCGCCGCGTACCGGACCGCAAACGGCCACAGAAAATGGGGGGCAGCCGCATGCATCATGGACGTACGGGCGACGTCCATAACCATGCCAATGCGGCGCTCAGCAATCCCATTTTGCTGTGGAGAGTCCGGAAGCCTGAAGGTCTGGCGGATGCCTTGTGCACGACATTAGGCTCGCAGAAGGCCAGAAGAGAACTCTCCACCTCTGTCAGAATGCAGACGCAGAACAGGAAAGTCTGAGCCGAAGCTCTGCCTGAGCTGGAGAAGAGCTGCGCGGATCCAGTCGATCAACACCTCAGTGACATCACCCTTGCTGCGCAAGGGGAAGACTGTGGTGTAACGCGAGTAGCCGTCAACCACCAGCAGGAAGTAGCGCTCGTGACCCTGTCCACGGACGCGGGCCGGGCCCCACACGTCCATGTGAAGTGTCTGCAGCGGGGCCTCTGTCGGAGGAAACTGGGAGGAGTGAGGGACAGCCCGCCGCCGCCCCTCGACACAGGGGACGCAGGTTGGGCCAGGCCCCGGAGGAAGGGGAGGGAGGGACCGGGGAAGACCAGAGACAAGGACACGGGAGGCCATGCTTCGGAGACGAAGCAGGGAGGGGTGACCAAGGCGGTGGTGCCAGAGGAGAGTCTCGTGAGACAGGAGGCGACACGAGCAGGGGGCAGACTCAGGACCAGACCTGGACGCTGCAGCAAACACCTGACGTGACGCAGCTACCTGACCAAACGCAGTGACTGGAGGAGACGCAGTGGTCAGTGTGTACAGGCTCAACCCCGGCCGACGTGTAAACGTGGCCAGGTGTCGGCCTGTCCGAGCGTCTGTGCAGTGGATCAAACGCTGACTCGCAGGAGTGAACTGGTGAACCCCCGCATCCTGTAGGTCAGCACCACTCACCAAGTTCGTAGAGAACGAGGGGAGGTAAAGACCAGACAGGGTGCCAAAGGGGGCCGCCAGACACGGGAGGACAGTGGAGAAGTGAGCAAGGTTAGGACCCCCAGAGGGGTCTGCCACGGAGACTGCAACTGGCCGACCAAGCGGCGTGAGTGTGGTGCGGTCTCAAAAGAAGGAGCGAGAAGCCTCCGAGTCAAGTGTGAAGGTGTGGGAGGCCGAAGCTGACGCAGTACCTGAGAGCACAGACTCACCAGCACCGGAGGAAGCAGACGCACTAGCACCTAGAGCAGCAGCCTCGCTAGCACCAAGAGCAGCAGCCTCACCAGCACCTAGAGCAGCAGTCTCAATGCCCGGGTCGGGCGGGAAACACCTGTAATAGTCACCCTCATCACTAATAGACACAGCATACATAGCAGCAAGAATAGCATCAAAATCAAGATCATAGATGGCAACTCCCGCCCTAGACAGCTCGCCCCAGCGAGGGATCTCAGTGGCCTCAGGGAACTGGTGACGCCAAGCGTCCGTCAGGCGACCAAAGCAGCGCTGGGTGGGGTGCGCACCCCCTCACTGCTCACCCGCACGGTCGCTGGTGCGCAGGACGTAGGTGCACGGACCAGTACCCCCACCCCGCTGGCGTGCAGTGTACCACTCACGGAGCTGCTGAGGGGACAGGGTCTCCCGACTGCACTGCTGCTGCTGGCGCTGACCACCACCGGAGCCACTCCTCTGCAAAGAGCCACGACCTCCTCCTCCTCCTCCTCCTCCGCCACCGCCTCCTCCACCTCCGCCACCTCCACCACCTCTGGTCCCACCGCCACCACCGCCGTCGCTGACACCTCCACCCCCGCCACCACTCCCACCACCACCCCCACCCCCTCCACTGCCTCCTCCAGCGCCCCTTCCCCCCTTGCCCTTGCCAGAGCGACACTTCCCGCTAGGGGTAGATGCCGCACCGACCGACTCCAGACCAACGAGGTCGGCCGCAGCAGCAGAGGCAACAGAGGGCAAAAGAGGGGAGGGGGAACACCTCTCAAAGATGGGGGTGCGAGGGTCACCACGAGAGGCTCCTACAACGACTATGCTCTTCTCAGCTGCTAGGAGGGCCTTCTTGAAGAGGTCAATGGTGAGAGTGGTGGGGCAAATTGAGAGGAAGTGGTCCCTGTCTACGCGAAGGGAGTCAGGGAGCCGGGTGACTATGTAGCAGAACTCAGCAGGAAGCGCAGCGTGGTAGCGAGTGTCACTAGTGCGGAGGTGCGTAATGAGGTCAGCGACTGTGGGAAAGGCAGCAAGGTCAGGGAAGAGGTACGGTAGCATGAGGCGGCTCAGTGCAGTCGTGGCAGGGGAGGAGTAGCGTGCAACTATAGCGTCGTACAAGGTCTGAGCACTCTTGTACTGGCTAAAGTGCGCACGCTCAGAGGTAGGCAGGTGGCGACGCACAGCAAGACGTGCAGCAGCATCGCGCGTCAGCATCAGCAGCGGGGGCAAGAGAGGCACCAGAAGTGAGGTCAAAGAGGGATAGACCGTCTGCCCTATCGCACTGTAAGAAAAGCTGCAGGTAATCTACCCAGACGTCAAAGTCAATGGCCCTACCCTCAGTGTCAAAAGCGAGGACACTACGGGTAGTCATGACAGCAGTAGACTAGCAACACGGACACTGGGGTAAGGGCAGTGCAGTGACAGAAGCGCTGCTCTCACCAGACAGGGCGGCTCGGCGGCGCGGGCGGGTCGGCTGCAGGGCGACTCGGCGGCTCGGGTGCTGGGCGGCTCGGCGGCTCGGCGGCTCGGCGGCTCGGCTGCTGGGCGGCTGGGCAGCTCGGCAGCTCGGCTGCTGGGCGGCTCGGCTGCAGGGCGGCTGGGCGGCTCGGCTGCAAGGCGGCTCGGCGGCTCGGCTGCTGGGCAGCTCGGCGGTTCAGCTGCAGGGCAGCTTGGCGGTCGGCTGCTCGGCTGGGTGTGGCGGCTCAGGCGGCTCGGGTGGCGGGCGGCGCTGCAGCAGGCGACGGCGCCTGCGCCGCAGTGGTGACGGCGAGGCCGCGTGGGGACGGCGGCAAGGCCGGCAGAGGCGGCGCCGGGGCCGCACAGGTAGGCGACGGGACGGGACGGGGAGCGCCGGGGCCGCATGTAGGCGCCGGGGCTGCAGGGAGGTCACGGGGCCGCAGGTAGGCGCTGGGGCCAGCAGGTAGGCGCCGGGGCCGCACAGGTAGGCGACAGGACGGGAAGGGGAGCGCCGGGGCCGTAGGTACGCGCCGGGGCCGCAGGTAGGCGCCGGAGCCGCAGGTAGGCGTCGGGGCCGCAGGTAGGTGGCGGGGCCGCAGGTGGGCGCCGGGGCCAGCAGGTAGGCGCCGGGGCCGCAGGTAGGCGCCGGGGCCGGTAAGGGCGGCGTCAGGGCCGCAGGACGGCGCAAGGGCCGCGGGGTAGGCGACGAGGCCGCAGGGCGGCGGATCGGGGCCGGGAAAGGGCAGCGCGAGGGCCGCGGGGTAGGCGACGAGGCCGCAGGGCGGCGGGTAAGGGCCAGGAAGGGCGGCGCGAGGGCCGCGAGGCAGGCGACGGGGCCGCTAGGGCAGCGGATCGGGGCTGCAAGGTCGGCGCGACGGGGTCGAGAAAGGGGGAGCGCGACTCGGGCTAGGTCTGAGCGCGCTCCGGGCAGGGGAAAAAAAATATCGAATTGGTGGGCCCTAGGAACAGTTCCCACGAGGGAACCTGCTCGATACCACGAGGAAACTGAAACGAGAATGAATGAACTATGAATGAGTTGGGTACAAGTACTAACCCTAATTGGGTTGTACCCCTTATAGGCTACCCCAATATAGCCTACACAATATGCATAAGCTATAATGTTCTGACAAAGGTGTGGAAAAAGAAGTCAACTCCCTGGCGCTGACTGAAGCCTCGTGCAACGTAACGAGCCTTGAAGACAGGCGGAGATCTCGGCAGCCGCTTCACTCTGAAAATCCACATGACATCGACTACGTTTGCCCCAGGAGGGGGAATTGCGTCGACGTAAGTGCCTATGGACTTCCACGATGCCATCTCTGCATCCATGGCGGTCTGCCACTGAGAGGAGTACTCACCCGCGATCGCCTCAGCGTAAGAGCGCGGGGTCGGGATGTCTGGAGCATCCGGCTCTCCCTCAGGACCAAGCAGCATGGCCACGAGATGAGGCGCGGTGGCTGCAAGACACTCGAAGTCCTGCCTATCCTCAAGAACGTCCGTGCCAAGAGCACACTCACCCCCGACGAACGGATGACCGACAGACCCAGACTCTGCAACAAGACTAGCAGCGAAGTCTAGTCGACAGGTAACAACAAAGTTAACAAACTCAGACGCAGTAGCAGACGCAGCAGCAGACTCAAACGACGGGTCAGTGACAACAGTGGCTAGCAGACGTGTGAGTGTAGGGGTGAGTAGCACAAACCAGGTCAGACTCAGGGTCCTAAACGTAAGGCAGAGAAGACGCAAGAGGAGACGGGAGGGGAACACGTTGTGGAACAGAGCAAGGACTAAGTGCCATAGCGTGCGTGCCAGGGACAGGAGGCGGACGCTAACGAGGAACACGACTACTAGTTCGACGCGCGCGAACAGGCGAGGCAGGACGAGACGCAGGCTCACGACGCTCTGTAAGCGGGTATGTCTGCTCAGTGTAAGGAGAAGGAGCAGGAAGTGGTGCACGAGGCTGTAACGGGAGACCAGTAGAAGATGAGAGGCTAAGAATCTGGCGAAGCACGGAGTCAGGTGGTGGCAGAGACGACTGTGACGGAGGAGCGAAAAACAGTCGCGGCGGTGCAGTGCCACCAGTACCAGCAGCTCCAGATCCTCCACCAGCGCTTGAACCTCCAGCTCCAGCGCCTCTAGCAGCATCACCTTCAGCTCCAGTGACTCCAGCAACAGCACCTCCAGCTCCAACGCCTCAAGCAGCTCCAGAACCTCCACCTCTAGCGCCTCCAGTAGCACCACCTCCACCTCTAGTGCCACCAGTAGCAGCAACCCCAGAACCGGCACCTCTTGCCCCAAGGTCTCCAATGCCAGGGCGACAGCACCAGCTCCAGAAGCAGTACCAGTCCCGGCAACTCCAGTACCACCAGTAGGAGAACCTCCAGGACCAGAGACACTAGCACTTCCAGCGCCTCCACGACAAGCAGCTCCAGCAGCACGACTCCTCAGGCGGGTACGCGACGCAAGCCACTCTCGTGCCTGCTGTGGTGAGATAGGTCCGCGTCGGGAAACGAGACCCAGAGGAACGCCAATAGACTCAGCACCCCCCGACCCGAAACCCTCCGGCTAAGCACTCCCAGGCTCCGCACTCGTAGGCTTAGCACCCTCATGCTCCACACCCTCCAGCACCTCACGGACGGGCTCAACACCCCTAGGCTCCGCATCCGCAGGCTCAGCACCCCCAGGCTCCGCACTCCCAAACACCTCACGCGAAGGCACAGCACCCCCAAACGTAGCACCCCCAGCAGCACCTCCCATAGTAGCACCTGAGTCGCTAGTGACCTCTACAGGCTCAGCCAAGGGGGGTGGGTCTACTTGAGACACACATGAAGGAGCAGGACCCTGAGAGGGGAGGGGGTCTACCAGAGGGGGACCTGGAGCGAGGAAAAGCGGCGGGGGAGGGAGAGGGGTAGTGCGGTAGGGGAAGAGACAGTAGAAAGGAACCGACTTGTCAAAGGTGACGTCCTGAGAGGGGAAGAAACGACACGAGGTCGGGTGGTAAAACTGCCAGCCAGGCGCGTCAGGGACAAAGCTAAGGAAGCCACAGGGAATGGTGCGGGAGGAGAGCTTGTTCGCGGACGTATCGCGGACAAGGGCACGAGCACCCTAGACCCGGAAACGCGACGCATCGCCAACCTCCCCCGTCCAATGCAGTGTGGGCGAGGTCTCTGGCAAGGAGACACGGGGCCAGAGGTTGAGCTACTGCGCGGCGTACCGGACCGCAAACGGCCACAGAAAATGGGGAGCCGCCGCATGGATCAAGGAGGTACGAGCGACCTCCATGACTAAGCCAATGCGGCGCTCAGCAACCCCATTTTGCTGTGGTGAACCCGGAAGCGTGAACGACTGCTCGATGCCCTCGCCCTGACAAAAGGCCCGCTAGAGGTCGGAGGAGAACTCACCACCTCTGTCAGAGTGTAGACGCAGGACAGGAAGGTCCTGGCGGAACCTGCGGCGGAGCTGGAGACGAACTGCTCGGATCCAAGGGATCAGGACAGCAGGGACCTCACCCTTGGTGCGCAAGGGGAAGACCGTGGTGTAACGCAAGTAGTCGTCGACAACCAGCAGAAAGTACCGCTCACCGCCCTGTCCACAAACGCGGGCTGGGCCCCACACGTCCAGGTGGAGGGTCTGCAAAGGAGCCCCTGTCGGGGGAAACGAGGAGGAGTCAGGAGCGGCGCGCTACCGCCCCTCGACGCAAGGAGGGCAGGGCGGCGCAGGCGAGGCACGGAGGGGAGGGAGAGACCTCGGAAGACCAGACACAAGGAGACAACGTTGCATGCCACGGAGACGTGGCAAGGAGGGGTGATTCAGGCGGTGGTGCCAGAGAAGAGTCTGGTGCGACAGGGAGCGACACTCACACTGGGAGGCTACGAGACCTGACGCAGACACCTGACCGACAGCACCTACCTGAGGAGACACTGTCGTCGGTGTGTAAGGACTCGACCCTGGCGCACGGGTGAACGTGACCAGGTGACCACCACTCCTGGAGCACGTACAGATCACCACACGCTGTCCTCCGGGGGTAAATGTGTCAACCCAATGATCCTGGAGGACGGCGTTGCTCACCAAGTTCGTCGAGAACGAGGGGAGGTGGAGACCTGACAGTGAGCCAGATGGAACCGCCGGGCACGGAAGCACAGTGTGCAGGGATAACATCCCAATCCGCTAACCAACTGGGATAAAAGGGCATGTTTCCTTGGTGGGTCAGCGCACCCATACCCCCCCAGGACGACACCTGTAGCCCTTGGGGAGACCACTTCGGGCCATTCCAGTGTCCACTTCCAACACTCCCCTCACTGGGAGGGCCCAACACTAGGGCACAGGAAGTCGCCAACAGCAGGAATCGAACCCCGGTCCTCCACGCTCACCGCACCATGTCCAGTTCGCTAACCATTCTTTATTTACAGAGTTTATATGTACAATATGTACAAACATATGAGGCTCTAGCTAGGGACAAAAGAGAGAAGGAATGACACGAGTTTGGGGAAAGCTGTAGAATTGTTTGTAAGTTGAAACTAGAAGCTGATGTGGTGGCGTTGCTCGGAGAGTGAAACCAACACTAAAACCTTTCTGGTTTTTGACATACCCCCTCACGCAAGGGGGTTGAAGAGGTAAGCCAAGTCAGGGACGTCGTCGGTGTAGGCAGGAAAGTCGGAGAAGGAAGGATCTTGTGTGGTGGTGCTGTCGGTGGTGGGCGGGAAAGCTGCTTCTACCCTGTGACGAATCGACCTCGCTTGAGCACGCTGCAGCGCCATCGATATGCGTAGGAAAAAGGAAGTCTCAAATGCTCCTGAAAGAACCGCGTCTGCTGCACCACGGTCCACCCGGCGAGCTGCTGCACGACGGCTACAATCACGGAGGAATGTCTTGAAAGCCGGGCCAAAGCAACCAAAAGTCTCCAAGGTCAGCGGCATGAGTTTGACTGCAGGCCGGTCCTGAAGAGCTCGAGCGTATGCATGCCGCTTCTCTGATTCTCTCTGCTTCGCTGAAAGCCCAACAGTGTGTGTCGCCATAGCCGGTGCCCTCTGCTGCTGCGGGTCAATAACGGAAATGTCCAGAGCCCACTTGATTCCTGCACAAGGATCAAGGCAACTGACATCCACCACATGATCCGGCAGTAAAGTGGGGTCCTCGACACGAACAGTGAAAAGGGCTAAAAGGGCATGTTCCTTGGTGGGTCAGCGCACCCATACCCCCCCAGGACGACACCTGTAGCCCTTGGGGAGACCACTTCGGGCCATTCCAGTGTCCACTTCCAACGCAGTGGTGGACCGTGCAAGAACTGGGCCCCCTAAGGGGTCAGCTAGAGAGAGTGCAACAAGTGCAGGGAGTGGTGTGAGTGCGGTACTGTCACGGAAGATGCAACGGGAAGCACTTGAGTCAAGCGTGAAGGTGTTCAAGGCCTC